TGTACGGTAAAATGCGGGACGACAAGTTTTATGTGATTTGCCCCGATAACGATGTGTCGGAGGAGACAGACAAGAAGCGCATGCTGTGGACTGTAGGAGACATTGTTAAAGAGCGCCCTCCTCTGACCCGATGGCGCGAGGAGTGGAAGAAGGAGGCTGAAGAGACAATGGCGAAAACTAGCGTCTAGGTTCAAGTCCCCACCTTTTCGGCTGGTTGTTTAGATATGGATATATTTTAAAACAAAAATTGTTGTTTTACTTTTTTTTTTTAATGTCCCTCGTAGACTTATGTTATGATGGAAAAAACACATAAATGCCGGTAATTCGCGGACGTGCGTTGTGTGGCAGCGCGCGGCGCAACAATGAACAGCAACACGTTCCCCGCAGCTTGCAACTATAATTCACTGCATTGTTACAGTCAAATTCCGAATTAATCAGGGTTTGCGTGCAGTATAATTGAGAGGAATCCCCTGCAAATGCGGCCAAGACTTTTATCACTTCCAACAACATCCAATTCCACGCTCACGAAAAAACGTCATATATCTACGGAAAAATCTAGAGCCTAGAATTCTTATTAATTCTTTTGCGCAGCTAATGACTCTTCGGAATATCTACCACCTTGACTTTACGCAATTACTTAGCAAGCTAATTAGCATAGATATTAGCAGGCCTTACCTACTAACTAAGGATTCCTGGTAATTGCGTAAAGTAAAGGTGGTAGATGTTCCGAAGAGTTATTAACGGCGCAAGAAAATTAACAAGAATTCTAGGCTCCGGATTTCTTTTTTGGTGGATGTGATAGGTTTTTTGCGTGAGCGTGGAATTGGATGTTGTTGGAAGTGATAAAGTCATGGACGCAATTAGGTAATTTCTCTTAATTTATATGGCACGCAAACTCTGATCAATTCAGAATTCAACTTCAACGATGCAGTGAATTTGCAAGCTGCAGCGAACATAGTCACGAGCGCAAGCACGAACCTTATTGTTCATTTTTGTTGATTATTGTGAAGCCGCACTGTTTATCATGCCGCCGACAACCTTTCACTTGCTGTGAAAACACCAAACTTCATACGTTTGACTCCTTACTCCACGCCGGAGCCCACGGCCTGAAGAGGGCGAGACTTGCGGAGGCTCAGCTGGACTTCGGCAAGTTACACAAAGTCGTACACTCAGATATATGACCTGTGTGTTCTTTCTGCTTACGTGCCTTGTTCATTTAGTCGCGCCGGGCCCTGGACCACACAACTCCGCTCCGCCTGAGCAATGGACACAAGCACATTATGCGGAAGTCACAAGTCATGAGGAATGAGGATTAGAATTCATTTGAACCACCAGCATTTCCAATTTAACGGGCTGTCGAGTGACTGGCCACGTTCCACATTTGAAGTCATCCAACGATGTATATATATCATCATGCTAAATGCCTGCTCTTCTCATAGCATACTATCACTCTTGCTACCGGCAACTCATGCATCATCCATATCTTAAGCCACCGTACCAGAGACCTGCCTGATCTTGTTCAGCTTAATGTCTCTCCACAGCCATGTGCAACCCCACGCAACAACGAGCAAGCAAACGCTGGAGATGAGCATGTACCGCTGGGATTGCGAATAAGCAGCCGCTATGCCAGCCCTCATGTCAGAGCCCACAGGATAGCCCGTCTGCTTTTCGATTTGCCCGTAGATCTCGTCGACAGGCGAGCCCGGGGGCAGATTGCCGATCAGCTCGTTTCGGAACGTCCCCGTCCAGATGGCTGACGACACCGTGCTGCCCACCGCGGATCCAATACTGCAGAAGAGATTGAGCATCGCCATAATGACGGCCACGTGCTGATGATCAGACGGCGCCATCATGGCCATTTCACCCGCAACAACCATGGGCCCGCCAGCAAACGCGATGAAGATCTGGGTCATGATCACGAAGCCGATATCTTCTGAGGCTTGGCGGAACTTGATCATGAGACCGACGCCCAGTATGGTAAGCGGCAGAGCATAGAACGTGGAGATCCACTTGAACTTGCCAATTTTGTGCACGACAACGCCAATGACAAGGGCTGCAAAGCATGAGCCCACGCGGTAGATGTTGCTGATGTAGGTTGCCTTTGTGACTCCCGTGTCCCAGACCACGAGTAGCATCGAGTAGAAAAACCCACCCCAAATGGCGGAGCTGGCAAAGACAAAGATGAACATGACACCGGCTGAGAAGACAGTCCTGTCCAAGAGCAGTTCGTAAGGAACGAACTGGACGGGTGCCAAGAACTTCTCCCAAAGAACGAACAAGACTAATAAAACAACCCCAAAGACCAGCATGCAAATGATCAACGGAGAACGCCATTGTTCTTCTTGGTACGACCATATGCTGAACGGCAAGAGGAACAACGCCATGCCTCCAGCAAGAAGAAGGATTCCGACAAAATCGATGGCGATGATGTAGTCCCAAAGATCTTGCAAGGTTATCCAGCCAGTGTGTCTCTCAATGAGGCCAGCTTTAACAGCCTTTCTGTCGTTGTACAGGAACAAGATCGAAAGCGGTAGGATGACGACAGGAGTGATAATGGTCCAAATCCCAAACCCCCATCGCCACCCTGGTCCTGCCAAGACAGCCTCCGTGACAGGTCCGCCTATCCAAGTTGTCACAATGTACGGAGAGGTGGCAAACGCAAGCATAAGAGGTCGGTTGAGCAGCGACGAGGTATCGGCGATGAAGATGGTTACGCAGTAGGAAACGCCTTGAGAACTATCCGAGATGTCAGGAATTTACGCCTCAGCAAAGGTAACCCCTTTTTGACAAGGTAGACATACCCAACAGTGTTGAAAACCTTGGCAGCCGCAAACGTCTCGACATTATTACATGCAGCCATCATGATCAAGCCAATGACCCATATCCACACTGTCAACGCTAAACCCTGCGGCCGGCCCCATGTATCCAGAATCTTTGCCAGTGGGATGTAGCTGAGACCGCCGATGATGATGGCCACAACATCGATCGCGGGTGTAATGGAGTGCTTGTTGAAAGAACTGGTCACGAAGGGATCCATGCTAAAAACAACGACTTCCTCTATAGATTTGACAAAGTAGATGAACCAGATCCTGCGGTGAGATCGAGATCAGTCTTTAAGGCCGTTTGCATTGGGGGTGTTTGGTAAGAGCAAGCAATGGCAGAGAGCAACACTTACATGCCATAGGCCGCGACCAAATGTGCCTTTGACCATACTTTGGTGGCTGCCTCGATTTTCGCAACGCCGGACTGTAGCTTTCCACTGTTGAGGCGGTTTCCTGTCACATCCAGAGAGTCTGTTTCGCGAACCTCCTTGTCAGGATTCCCAGGCATCTCAGACACGGAAAATTCCGCCTGTTGCGCTTTCTTGAAGAATCCCATCCTGACGGCCAGACTAGGAGTAGGCGGCCCCTATAAGCTCTCGTTACGAACCGAGGCACCGGCCGTGCTACACGAAGTCCTTGCGAAGAAATTGGAGACGCGAAGTCAACGTCAGATCAGAAAAAAAAAAATCTCAGACTTTATACTTGTGCCGATTGCAGCCAAGTGAACATTGGTTGGGTGGAGATTTGTACTGCCCCCATGCCGCTGCTTCCCTGCATGCATATATAGTTTCTGCAGCATCATGTAAGGGTATATGTATCCGCCTCCCGGAGTCTTTGCGCAATATGGTCTTTCTACGACTGTGGATTATGCCGAGAGTTGTTAGGTGGAGAAGAGCGGTCGCGATGTCCGGCATTGTCCTGTTTGGGTGTGTCCGCAGCTCACAACTAGTGGTGCGTATTATCTGATGATCAGATAAATTTGATTCATACCCGCCTGGTCCCGCTCCCATCATCCTCCCATGAACTACTCTGTCACCATAAAATTTTTAATAGGGTCCAAAGTGGACAGCACCGTAGAGTCTCCATTTGTCCAATGCAATAGCTAGCGATCTCGCCTGCCAATAATCGACCTCTGTGTTTGCGAGAAGTCTGGAAGAGCAGTTGACTCGGTGTTACGAGTGCCGCCTCATGAAGTCAATTCTCCTGACAGATAGCTGTAAGTCAATCCGCTAACTTGAGATTTTTCTCGTACTGACCCTTGCGCTAGCAGACACTTGATATGGTGACTTAGCGATGGTCGGACAACCGCATCTGGACTCTACAGAGTCCGTAGTCGCCAGGATGAGGCCATGTTCTGATTGTAAAATTAGGTTGCAGGATATTTATTCACCGAAGAATGAAGCACTGGATAGCGTCTTTCAGGAAGTCATAATTGAGATATAGTGTTCCGGGGACGGACTTCTTCCAACCATAGCAAAGCAAATTTGTAGGCTAACCTACCCTAATGTAACGCAACTGACTGAACAACAGCCGACGGGGATAGCAAAAGCTTGAATACAGGATCGACTACGGAGTACAACCGATAGTATCAATTAGCTTACAGCGCTAGCGCATCGCTGCTCTCCGAAGTTCAACTTGAGCGAGCCAAGCTCCGATAGCGGATATACTCAAATACTGTTTTTTGTGGCATATTGTAGCAGAGTCGACCGCACAGAACCGAGCAGGTGGCATATGTCACGAAAGATCAAACTTCCAAATTTAAAGAAAGCTAAACAAATGTTAGAGGTAAATGTGTACGTGAAAACTTGATCTAGGAGACTGTTGACTTTAAATGTGAAGCAGTGTGAGTGGATGGTGAACTGTGTAGATGGCTGTGAAAAGCTGTCTATTACTTTCGACGTAATATAGCCAATCATTCAGTTTATTAATTCTGGATGGCTTAATCTCGCCTTGATTAAGCGCGTCACTTCTAAGCCCAGTAATTAAAATGCCATTCATATTCGAGAGAGATGTAAATGGATCTCTAGGGTAAAGGAGTGGAGTAAAAGGTGAGCCTTGGAGGGAAGGAGGGGGTTTATTTGTTGGGGCGCAAAAATAAACGTCGATTGAAGCACTTCCGACACGAGAGTAATAAAAACCCCAAAAAAAGGTATAATGGTGGGATTAATACCACCGAGTTGGACGAACAGGGAATCGAACCCTGGACCACTCCCAGATGTGGACAACATGCTAAGGGAGTATTATACCACTAAACCATTCGCCCATTTCATTGGTTCAATTGATACTGGATATGTGGGTTATTGTTTCCTAAGAATTCAACATGCTCACTCCTTTCTGGTTCTAGAACAGGCATCGTGACCAATTTGGCGGGGCGAACCCGGGCTTCCGTGAACGAAGGAGCTCATGTGATTGGTTCCCTAACTTATATTTGGCCGCAAAGGCTGGGAGTGTATTCGGCATCGTTGCCAGGGTCCGCTGATCTTGTTCTCTACGCATTGTGCCATCGCACCCAAAGCTTGCAAGGCCGCCGCTGCCGTGTTAATGCAGCGTCGTGGTTACTAATCGCCGGCCTGTCGCCGGGACTAACAAGAAGATCCTGAATGCTTGGACCGAGATCTGAGCGAGCTCAGGCCTTTGCGCACCATGTCTGAAGACGATGTTGACATGCTCGATGGGCAGGCCGCTGCTCGAGTTGATCGTGACCGCCGCGCTCCGAGATTCAGTTGGACGCCCGCATACGAGACAACATTCTTTCGCAGCCTTTGCGACAGCGTCCATCTTGGTCTTCGTGAGAACAGCAGCTTCAAAGCCGAAGCTTGGGAGCGCGCTGCCCAAGCCCTTCAGGAAAGCCACAACGCATATCCGTCCAAGAGCCACCTCATAAACAAAAGTGACAATGCGCGGAAACGCTTTCGTCTGTGGCGCGGTCTTCGCGAGAACCCAGATTTCATATACAACTCCGTCGACAAGACGGTGACCGCTACCGAAGATGCTTGGAGAGCGCACATAGAGGTGGGTTGTGCTATGGGTGATGCGCTGCGATGGCGAAATTACAGTGAAGCAAGATGCTGACTGAGGAACAGCGAGAACCCCTTTCAAGAGCCCTCAGAGGTAGGCCGTTTGATCATGAAGAGTTCATGGAAATCCTATACCCCGATGTTATTGGGTCTGGCGGGGCTCCGAAAAGAATCATGAAACCTCGAAGGAGAACCGATGGGCAACCAGGTGATGATCCAGAAATGCCAGGAACCGGTATCCTGAATCTTCAATCGGAGTACTCCAATGAACAGACCTCCCAGGACAGCCCTGGACTGGCACGGTCATCCGCAAGTCAAACCCCGACTGGCTCAGCCATCAGTTCTGGCGTGCAGACAAAGCCAAGTGCAGCCATGCTCCCTCGTCGGACTACGCCTACACAGCCCTCCGCTTTAACCCCCCCAGACGAGTCAGCAAATCAAGCAAAGAAGCGGGCACTGCCAGCTACCCAGCTCGATGGCGAGTTCAACACAACGCCGCCGTCATTTTCCACCAAGTCTAACAGTGTCGTGCCAGCGTCAGCCTCGCCAGAGAAGAAGCAACGAATATCTGCTCTTGGTGGTTCAGTACCCGTTGCCGTTACGACCATGAGCAGCATAGAACATGAGGGAGGCACCTTAGAACCAATGAATGACCCGCCGCCTGCTATAACGTTAACTCAGACTCCTCCTCCCACGGCAGGAGGAGAACCATCGTCTGATCCCGTTAATTCACTTACCGGCTCTCGCTGGTGTGAGATGGCCCTAGAGCAATTCTTCCGTGACTTTGCAGATGAGGACATGGATTTGCAGATAAGAATCGCAGAACATACCCTAGTTAACGAAAGCAAGGCTTTGGTATATTGCAAGATGCCCTGGCGAGTTAAGCAACATTGGATAAAGAGACTCGACGAAACGTTTCGGCAATCGGCATAATCCCTCTCTTTGCTAGAAGGCTTTGGTGGTTCTCCAGAAAGCGATGTCATACGCAAGTAAGGTTATATTTATACATATATATTGCATGGGATCGATTCCCCGGTGGGGAGCGGTAGATGTGAGGAGGCTTAGATTTCGTGATACCCGTTGGCGAGGCGTTGGACCTGGGAGTTGGACTTGAATTCAGCGTGGGACATCTCGGAGCATTTTGTTTTATGGATAGGCATTTGTTGGGTTGCTGTTGTCTGCAGATTACTCGACACAACACTCACTGACGGAAGGGGCAAATACCAAGAGTTGTCAATGCGCTCGAGTCGTCATGTTCCACAGCCAGAGCAGGATTAAGTGCAGCCGTACGGCTATAATTTGGCGTTTGTCTGTACATATTATAGGGCAATGAATGAAGTTGATGCAAGGTCACTGTAATGTAGTGTACACTTCGCACGCAAAGACAGTGTGCAGTCCAAATAACGTCTATTGGCGTACTCAAGTACTCCGTATTGCAGCTGCCAGAACAACAAGTGGACCCCGGAAACACAACACCGCGCAAGCCTACAGGGTCGATACAGCTTGGTGGAAGCGCAAAATTCGAGTTTCGGCCAGATTTGTCGAGAGCAGTGCTGGAAGATTTCTCTCCTGCGCCCATTGAGATTGGGAAAGCAGGCGGAGTACGCCAGGAGGTATCCGGTGAAGTTGAGTCCAGCGACCACAGCAACTGTTGGACAGTCACAGCCTATCCAGGACAGTGGGTCAAGCTGCTGGTACGTCATCCATAGGCACTGAAGACGTGCCCACTCAAGCAAGTATGGAGCTCCCAGAAAATGCGTCACATGAAATGGGTGATCAGCCCACCCACCACCTTTGTTTGACACTCCTTTCCTCCCGTCTCAGGCACACTATCGCGAATAAAGCTCTCCGAATTGCATCCCGGATTTCCCTATAACTACGATCAAACAGTGAGTATCTTGCCCACAGATGACTCTTTGGAATTCGAGAAGCTGATCAGTGTCGCTGCAGTGTCTTACGCCGACGTAGCTGCCAGCGGTCCCAAACAAACTCCTGAGGAGGTAAGTACCCGGATCGCCAAGTCTTGTCTCCTTCTCCGTCCAAAGAGTCGGTGTCTTGTGGTGCATGTACTACTTGATGGCTGACACGGTAAAACGCAGGCGGCTGCCCCCCAGCCAGTGGAGGTTGTCAATACCGAGTCCGCGTCTACAGCGTCCCTCATCGACGTCGATGTCCCTAGTGTGCACACCGTGCCGTCCGATTTCCTCGAGCAGGATGTCCAAACAGACACCCAGGCCCAGCGTTTAGATCGCGAGGCAGAGTCTGCCAAGGTCAAGGCTGAAAATGCCAAGAAGCGAACCACCAAAAAGGCGCGCGAAACAGACTCTTGGATTATTAAGCAATTCTCCAGCTTGTCGGACGGCAGCGCCGGTGCGCTGGCCATCACCAACCTTGCTGCTATCATTGGCGTCAGCTCTTACTTGGGTTACAAGGCATGGGGCCTGTACGAGAGAGGTAACTTGAACTGGAAGAGCGCTGGTGTGGGCTTCGGAATTCTCGCTGGCGTTGGCGCGGTAGAAGCTGTGCTTGGACGATATTTGTACAAGGGTAAGAAGGGCAGTTCTTAGGATTGATAGCTGAGCTGCGATGATACCGGATCATACATCTACTGTTGGCAGTTTGTGGCGTTGGTTGCAACGGTGTTGATGCTTTTAAAGTCTCTGCTCTTAACTTTCTTCACGCTCTTATGTCATGTAACAACTAGCATGGTAACAAGATAATTTCTTTCGGTCAACTATGCTATGCGCGTCTGATAATTCTGTGACAACAGAAGAGACTGTCTTGGTAGCCTTTTCACGTGAAAATAAGGTCTGAGAGTGTAGTGTAATATTTGCCGTCTAATGTCGCGGCCTGTCTATGTATCTCCTCGTACAATATGATATAATACAGACATGGGAGTCATGCTAAATGGTACATAGTAGGTGCTAAAACTGTAGCACAAAATGTCTCGCTACCCGATGCAGTCTTTCATTTTTTTAATTTTTTTTTGTGGAAGCAGCAGAGTTTACTCCTTTTCCTTTTCAGCCTTCTGGGCTGGCTGTTCCTCCTTGAGATCCTTGTCCGTCACATCCGTGGCGTCCTTCCACTCCTTGGGCACACTTTCCTCCGCTTCTGGCTTTATATCTGTCGACTTGCTTGTATCCAGCGCGTTATCCTTGGTCGCAGGTGCAACAGGCTCATCAGACGGAACTTGGGGTATTTCGGCATTAGGATCTTCTCCAGCCTCGTCATCTGATAGCTCGGCACCGTAAATGTCCGGGTATTCCCTAAAGCATTCCTGCATGCCCCTGTTGATATAATGATTAGTTTCCCTGTTTGGTCGACGTCACATACTCTGATAGTGGTAAGCGAACTTACTGGAACTTTTCAATGCAGTCCATTCCCTTAGGTTCCTCAGTCGAGTAAACAAAACAGCTGAAAGCAGTCTTGAACTGTTCACCACAAGGGCCATCAGCCATTCCTCCCAAGCATGGACAATCCCAGTTGATTTCACCAGTTTCAGGATTGAATGCGCCCTGCTGACCGGCTTCCTCCTCTAGAGCCTCGGGTGATCCGCCAACTGCAGTGGTCTGCGATTCAGTGCTGGGTTGCTTCTCAGCAGCCTTGGGGTCGTTTGACTGGGATTCAGCAGGCTTCTTCTGTTCGTCGACCTTTGGTTGCAGCTGTTTTCGCTTTTGTTCGATAACAGTTTCGACGGTAGGAAGATCGGACTCGGCGAACGATGATGGAGCGGCATTGAGTTGAGGTGCTTTGCATTCGGGTTAGTCGGCACGAGTACACCAAAAGGGGATATTCTTGGACATACCTGCTGCCTCCTCTGCAAACACGGAGCTCGTATTATAGTAATAAACGGCGCCGATGGCCAGCCCCCATCGCAGCGCAGAGCTCTTCCATGACCGCGATCGATCTGCTGGGGATGCAGTTGACGCAAATCGACGAGATGCGCATTGTAAAGTCTGTGAACGCAAGCCTCCTGCAGCTCGTCGTGAAGCGGTTTGCAAGGTTGCGCGATACATGTTGTGATGTTGTTGCGACAAAATTGTCAACGACGACAAAAACCGGATGGGATGGACTGGAAATATTTCATCTCCTAAAGGACGCACTGGTTCGATTGGTCAGCGATCTCAGTGCTGCATGGTCTAAGGCATGTAAGGAACAGTCTGAGAGCCCGCTGATAGCACTGTACCACCAGGCACCCCAAGCGTCATTCCGATGTTCAGCCGCCCTGCCTGGTACCCTGAGTGAA